CCTGCCTTCTACAGGGTTGGGAGGCTAAATGAGTTCAGTGTGCTGTGAGTCGCTAGAAACAGTGCCTGGCACTCAGGGAACCCCGAGAAATGCTCTTCGTCGTGCCTGCAGCCAGGGTTCCCACTGCCCCAATGATTCTAAGTGGCACTGGCTGATGACAAACCCCACCCAGCCTGCCCCCCACTGGGCTGGGGGGCACGTGTGTGCACCCCATCCTGAGGTTCTGAGGTTCCAGTAAAGGGCCTGGGCTGGCACTGTGATCAAGGCAGCATCACAAGGAGTCCGCAGGAAGCCACACAGGAACTTGGGAGCCCAAATCCTCTTCTGAGAACTTGATCCCCACCCCCCACAATGGCTGGTGCTAGATCTCGGTGGGAGGTCCTGGGTTAGCCACTATGACTAATTATAAATGCAGCTTGGGGCTCTCACTACTTCATCAAGGGCTTCTGTGGCTGATGGGTCTGGGTTGTTTTCCTTGGAAAGATTAGCACCCCAGAGGCAAGGCTGGTGGGGGCGGGGATATGGATTGGGAGTCAGGCAGACCTGGGTTCAACTTGTAGTGGTTATTTACAAGCCATGGGCCCTGGGGCAAGTCACTGTGCCCTGCTAAGCCTCAGCTTTCTCTTCTGTAAAATGGGGATGATATTGCTCACCTCACAGGATGGTGTAGGAGTGTGTGTGGAAAATGTACCCTCATGGTGGCAACATCAGTGCCTGGTCTCAGGTGCTTAGTAGGGTGAGTGGTGCATAGTAGGTGTACTATTCCCTCCTGCCTTCAATCTCAGAGCAGTCAGTTTGCTGACAATCTATCCAGTTACATACTGGTCTAGCTTCCTTCTTGACAAACAGGAGCCGGGACTCTCAGGCATCTATTTGGGGCTTGTGCCCTATCTCCATCTCCATGGCCCCAGCTTCTCCTGTCTTGTCTATTGGAGCAACCTCCTTACTCATCTCCCAGCCTCTAGTTCTTCTTGAAGCTGTCCTCAAAACTGGCTGCCAAGATGATCTTTCAAAAATGATGCTCATGGGGGCTGGCCGAGTGGCTCATTTGGTTAGAGCGCAAGCTCTGAGCAACAGGGTCACCGGTTCGATTCCCACATGGGCCAGTGAGCTGCGCCTGAGCTGAGCTGTTGCTGAGCTGCCAACAGGTGGCAGGATGGCGCAGCTGGTGAGAGTACATGCTCCTAACAACAAGGTTGCCAGTTTGACTCCCACATGGGATGGTGGGCTACGCCCACCCACAACTAAGATTGAACATGACACCTTGAGCTGAGCAGCCACAAGCTGCCGACAGGTGGCAGCATGGCAACTGGACTTGGAGCTGAGCTAGCTGCGCCCTCCACAACTAAGATTGAAGGACAACAACTTGGCTGTTCCCCTTCCCCAATTTCCCAACACTGTTCCCCTTCCCGAATTCCCCAATAAGATCTTAAAAAAAAAAAAATGGTGCTCATGCCACAGCTCCAGAAGCTTCCAAGGCTCCCCAGGGTCTCCACGGTCAACTCCCATCTTCTTGGAACGGCACTTGAGGCCCTCCTGCCCGTCTCTCTTCACAATGCTTCCTCTGAATTCTTTTCTGTATGCGCATACCCGGCTGCAGTCCTCCTCTCCTTGTCAAGCCCCAGCTCACTCTGCCGTCTCTGCTTCAGCGCCCACTCCATTGGGCCCCCAGCTGGTCAGATGCCCCATCCTTGCTTCCATGGCTCCTTGTTTCCTCACCCACCCACTGGGATTGCCTCTGGCAGACTCTGCCACGAGATACGGGCTTCCGGAGGACACAGCCTCGGGCCTGTTCACTATTGTCTCCCACATATGGCACAGAGCAAAGCAGGGGCCACAAGCTCTGTCTCCACCAGGACCAGACAGGTAACATCTGTTCGAAGGGCCTTAGTGTAAGAGTCCAGGGGACTAGGGCAAACAGGAGAGCTACACACCAGATGGGCAGCCATCTCTCAGCTCTGGCTGACCATTGCCCTGCAGAAAAATGGGGCAATGCCAGCCACACTTTCCAATTTTTCAAAAAATCTAGAAATCCAAGCCCTACGTGAAAGTTCTCAATATTTTAAAAGACTGAGGATGCCCTATGATGTCTGAGGAGCATGTGAGTTGGAAAGTGCTCTGAGTATGAGCGTAGCTGAGACGGAACAGCCTGTGGACCACTCCAGCATCCCACACCCCTTTTTCACTATACAACAGAGGTTCTCATCTGGTTGGAGGGTGTGATTTTGCCCCCTAGAAATCTAGTGAGTAGAGGCCAGGGATGCTCCCAAACATCCTACAATACACAGGACAGTCTTCACAACAGAGAAGTATCCAGTCCCAAGTATCAATAGTGCCCAGACTGAGAACCTGCTACAGAGTTGTTGGTGGCAAGGAGCTGCCCCATCGAAAACTACATTTCCCAGCCTCCTTTGCATCCAAGTAGGATCATATGATTAGTTCTCACCAATGGACTATGAGCGGAAGTCATATGTGTCACTTCTAGGGAAGAACTGGTTAAAAAGCGTCTCCATTTGCATCCCCGCATCAATGTTCTGGTCCCATAAAACTTAGTAGGTGGAACATCTGTTTCGACAGAACATCTGGAACTTAGAGGAGGGAAGAGCCACATGATGGAAAGAGCCTCGGTCCCAGCCAGCTGGCCAAAGGCACCAGCAGAGGTGTGCAATAGAAATTAACTTCTATTGTGTTAAGTTCTGGATTTCTCTTTACCACAAGGCAGGGTTGCTTGAATAAACTGAAGAGGATTTGTCAGCTCATCTTCGTGCTTCCTCCCTGAGAAAGCATCTGAGGGCTGTGGAAACCTTTGTGCTGTCGGGAATGTCACCCTTAGCTTCTAGTTCCTCGGATGCTGATGCCTGGCGCTGGGACCACTGCCTCGGCCCTTGGCTTTGATTAGGACTCAGAGCCCACCAACAGTTACAATAAAAGGTGATGAGAGACCTGAGGGTGCAAGAGCCCAGCCTGGGGGAGGGAGGCCTGGGGGAAGACTGGAGCAGTCAGTGCCTGAGCATCATTGGTTCTTCTTGAAGGGCCCGTCAGCCCACAGCCTGGACTCCGGGTGGGAAGAGCTCCTAGTAGGATCCTAAGTGCTGTCTCTACGTTCAGGTGTAGGAATGGCACGTCAGTGAAGTTAGAGAACTTGCCTGAATTCATGGAAACGAGAAAGCGATGGAGTAGCCCCCTCCCTCTGACTCACTGCCCATATTTTTTAACCCCATCAGTGTATCCAAAGTTTAAGATGCTGTGGGTGCCCTGTTTTTTATCCTTTGAGCATTTACTATTTCAGCACACTCCTGGGGGGCTTTCTCTCAGCCCTTTCAGGGGCAGGTTGGAAGGACCAGGGTATTGATCTTCCTGGGAGCATCCCTTAGCCAATGAGGCATAAGGCTGGGAGAATAAACAGTCCAGCTGCCTAGCTCCGTGGTGGGGTAGCTCTCAGGCGTTTCTTCCACCCTGCCTCCTAGAGGCCCATGGTGGGGTTGAGCCCTAGTTACCCACAATGGCAACCTGTTTGGTAGCACCCCCTTTATCGGCCTCCTTCCCTTTCCTGTCTCACTGCCCCACTCTCTGCCTCCTGCTTTCTGGGTTCCTTTTACAAACCACTTGCACACAGATTCTTGTCTCAGGTCTGCCTCTGGGAAACCCAACCTAAGACACAAAGTATGGTTTGCACAGCCCTGAGATGTGTCAGTTGATTTCAGGTGGTGCTGATGAACTTGTAAAAATGGACTGCTCAGATGTGAATTGGAAGAAGTTGTTAGGAAATAATAGTACAGAGATATGACAAGAATCATGAAGATGGTATGAGAATAACACCTGAAAACACTGCACTGTATCGCTCATGAGGAACTTATCTCTTTGTCCCGGCAAGAAGGTAGGCATGAGGTTTCATTTTTTTTTTCTAGTATCAGCTTGGTTGTACTTACCTTTTTGCCAGGATGGCTAGGAAGCTCGGAGAGAAATCTGCTCAGTTGCATTTTCATTCCCGAAGGATGCCCCACTTTTGACATATGGTTTCTCATCTTTCTGAGTCCATATTTAACTGGGAGTGTGTGATGGGTCATTAGTATTGGCTGCCTGAGAATTTAGTTGGCAGGAGGTTGGAAACACATTATAGATAAAGAGTGTGATTAAGTGTAGAAGCTTTCAAATGGGATGGACCTGGATTCAAATCCCAGCTCCACAACTTGGAAGACCTTGGGCGATCTCATCACCTCCAGCACCCTTGGTTTGCTCATCTATAAATGTGGATGAGAGAGGCCTACTTCCTGGTAAGGATTAAATGAGCTGAATCCACGTAAAGCATCAAGCACAGAGCTTGGCAGATGGTAAATGATCAACATTGTTATTATCATTATAGGGCCTTTCATTCCAATGAGGCAAGAAGAAAAAACTCGGGGAAATCTGTATGTCCCCAGTGTCAGGTGCAATCCTGGGCCCAGTACCCAGGCTTAATTAACAATCAGGAATGGAAAGAGGTCACAATCGCCAAGCTAGGCTGAAGCTCTGTGATGGCAGACAGCCTGTCAGTGTCGTTCACCATCTAATTCTTCAGACCTAGCACAGGGCCTATCATATACTCCATATTTGTGAATGAATCAATGAGTGAATGAATGAGCAGCTACAATGGGCCAGGGTATGTAGCTCTGTTTGTGGGCTCCATGCAGCAAGGGTGTCATGGGGCTCTTGAGGCCTTCCTGCTGTGGGTTTTAGGGCACAGAGGCATTCTTTAATCCTCACAGCAACTCAGGAGTGGGCTGCCTACCATTTTACAGGTGAGATAAACGGAGACGCAGAGACACAAAGCAATGGGTCCAAAGTCACCTCGGTAATGAGTGTGAAAGCCCCCAGGCCAGGAGGAGGCCCTTTCCTCACCCCCAATCCCACCTCTGCTCCTGGGTCCTGAGTCCAATTCTTCCCAGAGAAATGAGCTTATTTCAGTCTCTTCCTCAGTGACCACAAAGACTCAGCTCTGTCCTCAGAAATATTTGGAAAGTTTTATTTAAATGTTTTGTGTTTCCTTTTAACCAACACCAAAAAGAGAAAAAAAAATTTTTTTTTTTTTTTTGCCGTTCCAAACAGGAGAGTCGCTTCAGAGAGGAGCTGGCATGTGTGTTGGGAGCTGGGACGTGTCTGCCCGGCCAGGCTGCTCCTCCCAGCCCAGGCCACCCTGGGGTTGGACAGGCAGTCCCAGGAGCCAACTTCCTGGGAGCCCTGGGCGGCCTTGGAATGAGTGAGTGAGCAAACCCTGTCCTGAGGAGAAGGACTTGGTCTCCCTTGCAGGCTGGGGCATGAGCATGGTGGGACCTGGTGGGTCCCAGATGGAAGGAGAAGGGAATGGGAAGGTCAGATCTGGAATGTTCCATGGACACTCCAGGGCCTCCAGGTGTGGAGAAATATGTTTGCTAGAAAAATAAGATGCTTTGAGAATTTCTGCAGTCTGTGCTCTCTGCCTGCCCAAGAGAAATCTACCCTATTGGCCAAAGGGGCATCGGGGTGAGTGCAGAGGCAGCAGACCAGGAACTGGTCCGGCCCCAGTGGAGAGTTCCAGAGGGAAGCAAGGTGGGCAGCAGACTTTGGTTTCCCGGGTCCCCTTTCTGGCAGCTGCAGAGGCTGCGGAGGTTCCCACCTCCTTGCCCCTTGAGGTGTGGGCTGCCAGGCGGCGTGCGGCGCTGGGAGAGGGAGGCTGGCCATCTGTCATGGGCTGGTGGGCGCTCGGGCCCTGGGCCTTCAGAACAGGGTGCCCAGGGGAAGCAACGCCATCAGGAGCAGCAGGGGGCCTGGGGAGGGGCTGCCCGATGAGCTGGCTGAGGCACAGTGGTCGCGGTTGGCACCGATGCAGGCCGCGTAAGCCATCACGTGAGGGATGTAATTCTGCTCGTGGACGCCATGCAGCAGGTGTGCCATGGGGCCCTTGGCAAAGACCGCCACGTCCTCCCCGCCGTGGGTCTCGTGGCGCAGGGGCACGGCAGACTGTGCCTGGTAGTTGTTATGCGCTGTGGGCCAGAAGAAACATTTGCCGAGAGCCTACCAGGGGCCTGGCGCTATACAGCAGCTTTCCCACGCCTCTTCCAGGCTGGCTCAGATGCCCCCATTTTATAGAAAAGGAAACTGAGGCTCAATGCAGGGAAGTCATTTTACGTAAGGCCACAGGACTCAGGCCTGAGTCCGTTCTGACACAGAAACCTGCACTCTCAACCCCCAGAACAGAAAATCAGCCTCACCCGGGCTATTTGGATTAGAAGGAAAGTGTCAACCCGGAGAACCTCTTACCACTGGCTATACCATTAGACGCCCCCCCCCCAGGGGCCTCTAGGGACATTGAGAACAAATGAACATTCTACAATATGAAATTGGATGAACACACTGGGAGGGTTCATATACTGGAATATTATACAGCCAGTAAAAATGACAGTGTAATACAGCAAGCACCTACATGTGCCAGGCTCCGTGTTAAGCTCATCGGACCTATTTAATCTTTCAGACAACCTTGGGAGATAGGGCCTTTTTGTGGAGAAAACTGAAGCTGAGAAAGATGAAGTGATGTGCATAAAGTCCCAGAGCTACGAGATTGTAGGAGATTCAAACTGAGATTGTTCTGACTCAGTCCTGGCTATTCTGACATCCCTGACCTTGATCACAAGCCTACATTCTGTTCTCAGGCCCATCCCCGAGGGGTGCCCTGTCCCCTCCCAGCCCTGGGTCTTGGCAGTCTCACCGTAGTCCACCATGGAGACATTCTCTCGCTCACCGCCCACCACCTTGTAGCCAGGCCCATTGCCATACAGGATGGCAGTGAAGGGCTTCTTGTCCGTGTCGCTTACCATGGGGGCGAGACCTGCACAGGAAGACATTGGTCCAGGGCTCATGCTGCAGCATCAGTGTACAGTCCCTTTGAAGGGCTCCAACCCACCTCTATGAAGCCACCTTCCAAACCCAATTTACTTCCATCCAACCACCCCCTCCGCTTTCCCTGTGCCCACATCCCTTCCATCTGTCAGTCTGTCCATCCATCCATCCATCCATCCATCCATCCATCCATCCATCTACCCATCAGCCCTCTGTCTCATCCTTCTATCCATCCATTGTCCAGGTAGCCACCCATCCACCCCTGGACTCACCTCACTCTGTCCCTTCACCCTGCATTCCCCCACCAGTCAGTACATTTTCCTCTCTCCCCACTTTCCCACTGAGTCCCATCCGTGCCAGGCACTGGCCTTGCTGGCTCTCCCATCCCATTCCTGCTCCCAGAGAGGGCGACCCTGGGAGTGCCCAGTGCCCAGGCCAATGGAGGCCCACCTACCAAAGATAGAGTTGCCCCGGGGGGTGTACCCGCCAAAGGTGAAGACGTGGGAGTGGTCAGCAGTGACGACGGTCATCGTGTCTTCCAGGGAGGTCATGTTGCCTGCCTGCCCGATTGCCTGGTCCATCTCCACTGCCTCGTGTAGCGCCTGCTTGGCCTTGCCCTCATGGTGCCCATGGTCAATCCTGCCTCCTTGGGACACCAAGGCAAAGGCCTCAGGTGAGGGGGAAGGGAAGAAGATCGGCACCCCCGAGCCTCCATACGACTGCTGGGTTCACCTTTCATTGATGGGGAACTGCCACGTGCCAGGCGCCACACCAGACTTTTATACAGCCATTCAGCCTGTCCAGCAGCTCAGGGAGAGCGAGTTGCTGGACCCAAGGCCCATGCACGGAGAGTGCAAAGCCAGGATATAAAGCAGGTCCACCTGCCCGAAAAGCCTGTGCTCCTTCCACCCCCCCAAGCTGCTCGTAGGAGCCCTTGAGGCCTTGGAGAGGCGGGGAAGGAACCAACATGCCTGAGTGCCCCCTAGTGCCAGGCATGACATGCTGATGTCTTGTTTCCCCTTCACAACAGTCCTGGGCAGAGACGGATGCAATCAGCCCCATGTCCAGATGGAGCAACGGAAGCCCATCCTGGGGCAGGAACGCGCCCAAGGTGGCATTTGCTGGAATTTGAATTCAGGTGTGACTCACTCTAAAGCTCTATTTTTCCATCTCCACTTTGAGTAGTCCCCTCTGAGTGTAAAGCACAGTCCAAAAGGGTGGTAAGAGTCCTCAGTGCCTGGGCAGGGCCCACGGCAGGCTTCCAAAAAGGCCT